CACCTCTCTAGTAGCTGGGACTACAGGCGCCTGCCATAACACCCGGCTATTTTTTGGTTGCAGCTGCTATTGTTGTTTGGTGGGCCTGGGCTGGATTCAAACCCACCAGGCTTAGGTGTATGTGGCTGGTGCCTTAGCAACTTGAGCCATAGTTGCCAAGCCTAATAATAATATTTTTAAAAAGAAATGTTCCCTGAAGAGTTCTAACCCTGGAGGGATCACTTCTGAGGTTTATCTTACAAGGGTACAAGTGAATCTTTCTAAGAGCAGAATGTGAACGTTTTAAAATAATAACTAAGAAAATGACATGAAGGCTATGTTAACTAGTTTGATGGAAGTGTTTCAGATTGTGTGTGAAAACCCCACACTGTACCCCAGCAGTGCATTAATGTACATAGTTACCATTCAATAATTAAAAAAAAGAGTTCTAACCCTGGCAGTGTTCCCACCTGCCCCTCGAGACAAGAGAGCCTGGAATGACAGAAAGCATAGGCTTTGCAATCAGGAAGACCAATGTTCTCAGTCTGTTACCTTAGCTGTAAAATGAGGATGACATCAATTGCATTGTGAGGAAGGGGCATAAATGTTGCTTCTCTTTCTCCCACTTTGACTTTCTGAGGCAGGAAAGTTCAGATTAAAGAGATGGGGTGGTCACTGGGAACCAATCTACAATCAGACCCAGAACTCAGATCTAGACTTTTTTTTTTTTTTTTGCAGTTTTTTGGCCTGAGGCTGGGTTTGAAACTGCCTCCTCCAGTATATAGGACCAGCACCTACTCCTTGAACCACAGGCACCATCCCAGATCTAGATTTCTTGAACACTAGATGCTCTCCTTGAGCTTTTGCACCAGGTGCTCCAGATCAGTAGGAAGAGTTGAATGGGTGGTCTGCCATTCAACTTTTTAAAAATCTATGGGCTCAGCACCTGTAGCTCAGCAGCTAGGGCACCAGCCACATACACAGGAGCTGGTGGGTTTGAATCCAGCCCAGGCCTGCCAAAAAACGACAACTACAACCAAAAAATAGCTGGGTGTTTTGGTGGGCGCCTGTAGTCCCAGCTATTTGGGAGGCTGAGATGAGAGAATCTTAAGCCCAAGAGTTTGAGGTTGCTGTGAGCTGTGACATCACAGCATTCTACAGAAGCCGACATAGTGAGACCCTGTCTCAAAAAAAAAAAAAAAAAAATGGGCAGCACCTGTGGCTCAAAGGAGTAGGGTGCCCGCCCCATACGCTGGAGGTTGCGGGTTCAAAGGGGGCCCGGCCAAAAACTGCAAAAAAAGATATAAAGTAAAACACGAAAATAAGAAAACTTTCTGGCAATCATTCATTCAGCCAAAACAGAAACAGTACAAACAGGTGTGTACTATGTGTGAGGCTCCATGCCTGCTTCAGTATAGTTAGCTGTGAGCCAAACAGAGACTAGTTCCTGCCCTAGAGAGTTTGCTTTGTTTTTTTCCCTTCTTTCTTTTCTTTTCTTTTCAGATAGAGTCTCACTTGGTCTCACTACTAGATCACCCTTGGTAGAGTGTCCTGGTGTTTTAGCTCATAGTGACCTCAAACTTTTGGGTTCAAGTGATCCTCTTGCCTCAGCCTCCCAAGGATCTGGGACTTACAGGCACCTGCCCAGCTATTTTTTAGAGACAGGGTCTCGCTCTGGCTCAGGCTGGTCTCGAACCTGTGAGCCACTGAGCCCAGCCCTTTTCTTATTTTTAAGAGACAGACTCTCTCTCTCTGTCGCCCAGGATGGAATGCAGTGGTACAATTTGATTTTAGCTCACTGAAGGCTAGGATTCCTGGACTCAAGTAATCCTCCTGCCTCAATTGAGGCAGCCAACACATCTGGATAATTTTTCTGTAGAAACAAAGGTCTCACTATGATACCCAGGCTGGTATCGAACTCAAGTGATCCTTCTACCTCTGCTTACTAAATGCTAGTACAGGCATGAGCCACTGTGCCTGGCTGAGTGTGCTGTCCTAATGCCTTCCTTTGCTAATGGCAAATGTTAACTCATAAGATTTTCACAACTGAAGTAAGGAAATATCAGGCACACTTAGTGCAGCTCTGTAAAGACTGAATCTCTGTAAAGGATTAGGTAAACTTTACAGAAATGGAAATTGAAGCACCAAGAGACTAAGGACCCTTAATGGAGCAAAAATATCAAACTAACACTTTTTAAGCTGTTCACCATTCCAAGGGCTCCCAATCTACCATGGTACTAAAACAGCAGACTGCCTTTGTCTGATATATGCCGTCATTACTCTCTGGCTTCTTCGCTAACTCATCCTCTCGCTATAAATACATCCTCCCAACACTACCGACGCCCTCAAACAGCAGGCGGCTCTGGCAAAACCCCCTTCCATCCCTCCTACGCAATCCGCCGTGACTTCCGGGTTTCAAATAACCAAGTGATGAAGTACCTTTACTGCGCATGTCAATTAGGAAGTCAGACTATACCATCTTGCCCGACGGAAGGGGTGTAGTTTTTATGTTCTCAATGTTAAAACCAATTCCAGATGTCAGAATTCTAGAACACCAGATGTTTCAGATAATTTAAGTGAGTTTGAAATGTCGGAAGATGAACGAACAGGACAGGAATATGAACGATAGTGCTGGGAGTTTGGGCTCTCCCCTCCACAGATTAATGGGAGGAGCCGGGCCCGAGCAAGTTCTTTCCTTTTGCTGCTGCGGCCGGAGCCATGAGGTGAGGTTGCGCTGGTCGCGGATCTGAGCTGGCCTGTACTGGTGGGGGACGTTGGGGGCTTATACCGCAGCCGGGGTGGGGGAGATGACATGCGGATCACCCTAAAGCGGCCAGCCGCGAGGGCGGGAGTAGTCGGGATCACATTAGTCCCCGGCCCAGGATGGGAATGGGGGAGCGTCGCAGGAACTCGAGACCCGGAAAGGGCTGACCTGGCGGGCGCCGCAACCCCCCACTTGTCGAGGGCGATAAACGCAGGTAGAGCAAAGGCAGCGGGTGGGATTGAGCGTGACCTCTTTGCTGGGCACTCCAGGAACCAAGCAGGCCTCTGTTTTCTTGCGACGTGGGACAGTCGTAGCGTAGGCCTCAGGCCTCCAACTGCCAGCAACGAGGCGATCCCTAACTCTGACGCCTTCCACTCCATTGCTCACTTCCAAGAAAAATCTCTTAAGAATGTCTGAAATTCGGGGCCGCGCGCGGTGGCTCACGCCTGTAATCCTAGCATTTTGGGAGGCCGAGGCGGGTGGACTGCCTGAGCTCACAAGTTCGAGACCAGCCTGAGCCAGAGTGAGAACTCCATCTCTAAAAAATAGCCCGGCGTTGTGGGCGCCTGTAGTCCCAGCTACTTGGGAGGCTGAGGCCAGAAAATCGCTTAAGCACAAGAGTTTGAGGGGGCTGTGTCGCACTCTTATCAAGGACGACAGAGTGAGATTCTGCCTCAAAAGAATGGCTGAGGTTTGTTTATTACTATGGTAAAACGAGGAAATAAGCGTGGAAACAGAGGACCTTGCCTGCATTCCTAGACTAGAAATTCGGTTTCCTGGTCTCAGATACTTAGCCTTAAATACTGTTTTTCCAACTGAATATAAAAAAGTGGCATAGCACGTTTTTATCACAGTTATGTCCCTAATATCATTTACTAGTGGGGAAAACAGGCTGGGAGAAGTTGAGGCATATCTTGAACGTATAAATCTAAACCCAGGTGGCCAGCTTTAACAAAGATCATGGTTTAGGTAGGATTCTTATTTGGGGACTGTAACATGGGTGGCAAAAGTCTTGACGGGAAGGCAGTGTGTCCGTAATAGTAAGTGCATACACATACTTTATCCATCTTTCAGTATGTAGTCACAACATTAAAAAGATTTTAGAGGGCAGGTCCTGGTGGGAGTGCTCATGCTTGCCTAGAAGTGGCTTCCATGGTCTGATAGTGTTTTCTTTGGGTCCAGTATGCTCAGGCTTCAGAAGAGGCTTGCCTCTAGTGTCCTCCGTTGTGGCAAAAAGAAGGTCTGGTTGGACCCCAATGAGACTAATGAAATCGCCAATGCCAACTCCCGTGAGTACTTGGGATTTCTCTATCTTTTCTCCACTCTGTCCTTTCCCTGTCCTGCATCAGATGAAAAATAACACAGTCGTGTTGACTTTTCACAAACCTAGGAAAGCTCCTAATTTGGAAGAACCTATAAAATGGGTTGGCCTTATTATCAAGATTATTCTTTCCAGTGTGTTATGATAACATTTGAAAGGTAAGGCCGGGTATGGTGGCGCAGTCCTGTAATCCTAGCACTTTGGGAGGATGAGGCAGGTGGATTTGTCTGAGCTCACAGGTTTGAGACTAGCCGGAGTAAGACCGAGGCTCCATCTCTTAAAAATAGCTGGGCATTGTGGTGGGCGCCTGTAGTCCCAGCTACTTGGGAGGCTGAGGGAAGAGGATTGCTTGAGCCAAGAGTTTGGGGTTGCTGTGAGCTGTGATACCATGGCACTCTACCCAGGGCAACATAGTAAGACTGTCTCAAAACAAACAGGGTTGCACCTGTGGCTCAGTGAGTAGGGTGGTGGCCCCATATGCCAAGGGTGGCGGGTTTAAACTGGGCCTGGCCAAACTGCAAGAAAAAAAATAGCTGGGCGTTGTGGCGGGCACCTGTAGTCCCAGCTACTCAGGAGGCTGAGGCAAGAGAATCACCTAAGCCCAGGAATTGGAGGTTGCTGTGAGCTGTGACATCACAGCGCTCAACCTACGGCTACAAGTGAAACTCTACAAAAAAAACAAAAACATTTGAAAGGTAGAAATGGGCCACGTGTGGTGCCTCATGCCTCTAATCCTAGCACTCTGGGAGGCGAAGGTAGGTGGATTGCTTGAGGTCTGGAGTTCAAGACCAGCCTGAGCAAGAGTAGGACTCCCTCTCTACTAAAACAGAAAAATTAGCTAGGCATGGTAGCACATGCCTATAGTCCCAGTGACTTGGGAGGCTGAGGCAAGGGGATTGCTGGAGAGTTTGAGGTTGTTATGAGCTGTGACCCCAAGGGACTCTCCCCGGGGTTACAGAGTGAGACTCTCTCTCAAAAAAAAAAGAAAAGCAGAAATGGTTGGATGTTTTGGCCCGTGCCTGTAGTTCAGCTACTGAGATGGGAGGATTACTTGAGCCCAGAAGTTGATCAACTTGAGGAACAGCAAGACCCCTATTTCAAAAGAAGATAAAAAATAGAAATGTTTTTTAAAGATTAAGAGGTAAACAGAAGCTTCAGTATTTTTGTCATTTTGGAGACCACTAATGTGAGGTCTCTGGCCTGTCCAATTTGAACTCTAAGCTGTAGCTAGGCCACAGTTGACTGACCAGGTGCATTGTGCTTTCCCAGGCCAGCAGATCCGGAAGCTGATCAAAGATGGGTTGATCATCCGCAAGCCTGTGACTGTCCATTCCCGAGCTCGATGCCGGAAAAACACTTTGGCCCGCCGGAAGGGCAGGCATATGGGCATAGGTAAGTGTGTCTTCTAAGATGTTAAGAAATAATAGGTGCTGAAGTCTAGACTGAAATATATTCAGGATTGGGCAGTGCCTGTGGCTCAGTGAGTAGGGTACCAGCCCCATATACCAAAGGGTGGCGGGTTCGAACCTGGCCTCAGCCAGCTAAAACAGCAGTGGCGGGGTGGTGCCTATGGCTCAAAAGGGTAGGGCACCGGCTCCATATGTCGGGTGACAGGTTTAAACCCAGCCCCAGCCAAAGGAAAAAAAAATAGCAGTGGCAGCTGCAACAAAAAATAGCTGGGCGTTGTGGCAGGCTCCTGTAGTCCCAGCTTCTCAGGAGCCTGAGGCAAGAGAATTGCTTAAGCCCAAGAGTTGGAGGTTGCATATGTATATATATATTTTCAGGATCTTTTTCTCCCCACTGTCTTGGCCCCTTTTTTACTCCATGGTATTTGATGTGTTTTTTGCTTGTGTGCACATCAGAAATTTGGTCACTAGAATTGGAATTGAAGGTATTTCTGGTAGAAAGAGGTTACATTTATAAGCTCCTACTCTAGGTTAAGGATTCTGCTGAGTAGTTGAGAATGTTGTCCATTAGGCCAGGCATACTCACTAATGGCTGTGATCCTAGCATGAGGTTGAAGCAAGTGGATTACCTGAAACTAACCTGAGCAAAAGTAAGACCCATCTCTACTAAATATAGGAAAGCTAGCCACGTGTCATGGAAGGTGCCTATAGTCCCAGCTGCTTGTGGGAGGCTGAGGCAGTGAAAACACTTGACCCCAAGGGTTTGAGGTTGCTGTGAGTTTTGATGCCGTAAGACTCTGTCACACAAAAAAGAAAAAAGAAAGAAAATGCTGTCCATTAAATCTTTTTTTTTTTTTTTTTTGTAATTTTTGGGCCAGGGCTGGGTTTGAACCAGCCACCTCCAGGATATGGGGCTGGCACCCTACTCCTTTGAGCCACAGGTGCCACCCCCTATTAAATCTTAAAATCACTTTCTAGTGGTTTCAGAGTGTATCAGAATAGTTTATTTTTGATCAAGAGGGTTTGTACTGTCTTTTACATCATTTTTTCTTTTTTTTGCCAGTGGTAAGATAGGATTAGACAGAAAAGAATACAGAAGCAGTAAAAAGGATACCAGAGCCTCTGGCAAAGGGGAAGACCCAAGTCAGAAATCTTCTCTCGGGTCCTTTGTCTACAGGTTTACATAATTTTGAGTTCAGAAATAACATTAAAATCTTGTCTTTCTAAAATTCAGATGAGGAGTCACAGTCCACTTTCTGATACTTTTTCTGTTTTGTCTACTGGGTCCTCACCACCCATACCAATACTTAGTGTAAGAACAATTTAAGGAGATGAAGGTCACCACATTCAAAACCGCTTCCAGCATAGTGTTATTGCCTTGGTGTGTATAATGTCATTCCTACATTCTGCATGAAGTAAACGAATAATTGTTGTGTTTGTGCTTCCTTAAAAATTGAGTACATGGGGCAGCACCTGTGGCTCAGTGAGTAGTGTGCCAGCCCCATATACCGAGGGTGGCAGGTTCAAACCTGGCCCCTGCCAAACTGCAACAACAACAAAAGAAAAATAGCCGGGCATTGTGTCAGACGCCTGTAGTCCTAGCTACTCAGGAGGCTGAGGCAAGAGAACTGCCTAAGCCTAGGAGCTGGAGGTTGCTGTGAGCTGTGATGCCATGCCATTCAACGGAGGGTGACAAAGTGAGGGTCTGTCTCAAAAAAAAAAAAAATTGAGTATATGAAAGAAATATTTGGAATAATCTGTAAAATGAAGTGGTAAGGATGAAATGAGACAGGGCAGCACCTATAGCTCAGTGATTCGGGTGCCGGCCACACACACCAAGGCGGTAGGTTGAAACCCAGCCTTGGCCAGCTAAAACAACAATGACAGCTGCAACAAGAACAATAAAAAGTAGCTGGGTCTAGTGGACGCCTGTAGCCCCAGCTACTTGTGAGGCTGAGGCAAGAGAATCTCTTGGACCCAAGAGTTTGAGGTTGTTGTGAGCTGTGATGCCATAGCATTCTACCAAGGGTGATGTTGTGAGACTTTGTCTCCTAAAAGAAACAAACAAAAAAAAGGATTAAATGAGATAAAGGCCCATCAGCTAGCTCCAGTAACTGACTTCAAACATACATAATATACTTACTACATTGGGTTTGGGCAGTGCCTGATTCTTAACTCACCTTGTCTGCAGGTAAACGGAAGGGTACGGCCAATGCTAGAATGCCTGAGAAGGTAACCTGGATGAGGAGAATGAGGATTCTGCGCCGGCTGCTGAGAAGATACCGAGAATCTAAGAAGATTGACCGCCACATGTAAGCACACTCTCTTGGCATGAAGACCCACTTGCTGCTTTGTTGGCTTGTTCTTTTCACAGAGCTCTGTCTCACTGACATCACTTAGGGGGTCTTTTTTTGAGACAGAGTCTCACTGTGTTGCCCTTGGTAGAGTCCTGTGGTATCATAGCTCACAGCAACCTCAAACTCTTGAGCTTAGATGACTCTCTTGACTCAGCCTCCCAAGTAGCTGGGACTATAGGCGCCTGCCACAATGCCTGGCTATTTTTTTTGTCGTAGTTGCCATTGTTATTTGGCAGGCCCTAGCTGGATTCGAACCTGCCAGCCCCAATGTATGTGGCTGGCGCCCTAGCTGCTGAGCTATAGGCACCTAGCCTAGGGAGCCTTTTTAAAAAAGATTTTCTACCAGGTACAATGGCTCATGCCTCTACTCTTTAGCACTCTGGGAGGACAAGGTGGGTGGGTTGCTTGATCTCAGGAGTTCAAGACCACCCTGAGCAAAAGAGAAAACCTCCATCTCTACTAGAAATAGAAAATAAGGGCTCGGCGCCTATAGCTCAACCGGCTAAGGCGCCAGCCACG